CCCAGATAAGTTCTTTTTTCCAGAGAATGACAGATGTGAAGCCAAAACAGGTTGATTTCCTGAACCAGAAAATGAAAGAGGTTCAGGGCTGGGCTATGGGCCATGAAAAGCCGTAACACTCACAGTCTACATGAGAAAACGAGACAATCAGGATTCTCAGAGATAGAGAGAGAAGCATTCTTTGTCTGGACCCCTTCGTTTGCTTCCCACTCTACAGAACGAAGCTGATAAGTATCTTGTAATGTGCAGGGCTGAGCTTCATCGACTGGCGAGGCAGCGGGCAGTGAAGTGACACTCTGAATGGTCCCACTACAAACCTCAGGTTCATCTGCGTAGAGTTACAGCACAGATAACACGGTGTTAACAGCTTCCTTTCTCTGTAGGCCAAGCTGCTGTCTCAGTTATTCTGATCAAAGGTGCTCCAATCATTTACCCTCCTGACCTAAAGAGCAAATTCTCCGAAACGCACGGCTTACTTTTATTTTACTTATTGAGACAAAATAAATTGTGATATTGAATGTTGTGAAGAAAGCACATCAAATCAGGGTACAATATGACTGGGGGTCGTGTTGCAGACAGTGTTCTGTCAAGTATTTCTTGAAAAAGAAAGTTTCTACTTCCAACATCTAGAAGAAACACATGCTCACCTTTATGCTCCATTTCTGCTGCTAAAGAAACAGTCCAAGTTAGTAATTATACTTCCATTGAGACAACTATTCTCTGGGTTTAAAACATATTCTTCTTTCATCTTTTCCCTCTTCAGGGTCTCCACAGCGAGTCATCCTCCTTTATCTCTGTCCTCCGCATCCTCTGTCCTCACTCCAACTACCTCCATGTCCTCTCTAACTGCATCCATATATCTCCTATTTGTCTTTTTTCCTGGCAGCTGCGTTTCTAACATCCTTCTACCAATATACCCACTGGCCCTTCTCTGGACATGTCCAACCCATTGTTCCTCCTCTGGACATGTCCAAACCATCTCAGCCTGGTCTCTCTAACTTTATCTCTTAGTTGTTCAACCGGTGCTGTACCTCTGATGAGCTCATTCTTAATCTTATCCATCTTTGTCACTCCTAAGAAGAACCTCAACATCTTCATTTCTGCCACTTCCAGTTCTGTCTCCTGTCTTCTTGACAGTGTCTCTGTCTCCAGACCATACAACATAGCTGGTCTCACCACTGTCTTGTAAACTTTTCCTTTGACCTTTGCAGACAATTTTTGCTGCAAATCACTCCTGAAACTTTTCTCCATCCACTCCATCTGACAGGTTTACAGCATATTTTGTTGAAAAATATGGTTGTCGCCACAATTTATGCAAACATTTTACCCAAAACGTGTGCACGTTGAGTTGCATTCAACATGAATGTTGGGTATGACGCTCAGCTATCAGTATCAGTATGGGCGGCTGTGGCTGAGTGGTTAGAGCAGTCGTCCTCCAATGCAAGAGTTGGGGGTTCGAATCCAACAGCAGTCACATGCCGAAGTGTCCTTGGGCAAGACACTGAATCCCTAGTTGCCTCTGATGTGTGTCCCATCAGTGTATGAATGTGATAAAGCTCTGATTAGTTTCATTAGAATGATTTGTTCAATTAGCTTTGTAGAGATCTAGTAGTGCTGTATGAATGGGTAAATGAGGCAAAAATTGTAGTGTAATGCGCTTTGAGTCTCTCGATAAGATAGAAAGGTGCTATATAAGTACAGTCCATTTACCATTTACCATCAGTACACTAAATCTTAGATTAATTGCTGTGAAACTGTTACAGTTACTGCCAAATCTATGAGTTTGCTCAGATTGATTAGCTGATGCGGTCATGTTTAATTTACTTGATTCCAAACAGTAATGAATTCTACATGTGCATTCATAACAATTTACTGAAAGTTTCAATTCATTTTTTTTTTGTGGTTCAGCAGATATTTTGCTAAGAAATAAGAAGAGTTGACTCTACAGACATAACTTGTGAAAGCAGTTAGCACTTAATGTTTTACGGATGAGTCTCAGCTACTACTACACCAAATCTTAGCTATAAATGTGAGGCTGACTCCAAATTTCTAGATGTACATTTAAATATTATGTTTTGAAACTTCAGTACAATCTACCCACTAGTCATGAGATGTTTCTCCCCCACCCCCACCCCCCCCTTGTCCTGTCCGGCATTGTGACACTTAAAATTATTGTCTGAGTGTCAAAGTGATGCCCAACGGATTTACTTTCACAAGCAGAGCATCATGGCTGGCCTTAATGCTCCACTTGATATATAAATTCAATTTTATTAGAATTTGCTTTGGGTTTGTTTCAGATGTAATGGACACGGGGATGAAAAACAAAGAAGATAAAGCAGAAAAGTGAGAGAAGGGTTAAAATGTAAATAATGTCAAAGAGATGTTTCTCCAATGTTACAGACAAATAAACACATACACAACCAAAGGGAACATGATCACATTTACCTTTGGCAGCTGGAAATAAGTTAATTACATAAGTTTGTCGATGATACAACAGAGGTGGGACTTGATAATGAAGATAAAACATCTCACAGAACAGAGGTGGAAAGGTTATTGAGACAACAGTATGTCTCTTAATGTCAGAAAAAGCTTAAGAGCTGCTTGTGAATTTAAAAAAGGAGTGCCTTATTTTTGTTTAACCTCATTTGTAGAGCTGCTGCCTCTCAGCAAGAAGGTTGCCAGATTGAATCCCAGCCGGGGATATTTCTGGGTGGAGTTTGCATGTTCTCTCTGTGCATGCGTGGGTTTTCTCCAGATACTCTGGTTTCCTCCCACAGACCAATAACATGCATGTTGGGCTAATTGGTAACTCTAAATTGTCCCTAGTTGTGAGTGAGAGAGTGAATGATTGTTTGACTTGTTTGTCTCTATGTGTCCCTGTGATGGACTGGAGACCTGTCCAGGGTGTCCCCCACCTCTTGCATAGTGACAGCTGGATATGGGACCCCATCCATCCATCCATTTTCTTTCGCTTATCCGGGGTCAGGTCACGGGGTTAGCAGCTTAAGTAGGGAGGCCAAGACTTCCCTCTCCCCAGCCATTTGGGCCAGCTCCTCTGGAGGAAACCCAAGGCGTTCCCTGACCAGCCGAGAAACATTTTTTTTCTTTTTTTTTCATTTACCCTTTATTTATACAGGTAGTCTCATTGAGCCATGAAAACTCATTTTCAAGAGAGACCTGTTTGGGGAGCAGATGGGGGTTAAGGGCCTTGCTCATGGGCTCAGAGTGGGGCGAATGAGGGTGGGAGCAGGTGTGGGTGCTTCACCTACCCTACCCACATTTTTGATGTTGTCGGTACCGGGGCTTGAACCGGCAATCTTCCGATCACAGGCCCACCTCCCCAACATAGTCCCTCCAGCATGTCCTGGGTCTTCCTCTGGGTCTCCTCCCAGTGGGATGTGTCCAGAACACCTCACCAGGGAGGCATCCAGGAGGCATCATAAACAGATGCCCGAGCCACCTCAACTGGCTCCTCTCGACGTGGAGAAGCAGTGGCTCTACTCTGAGTCCCTCCCGGATGACTGAGTTTCTCACCCTATCTCTAAGGGAGAGCCCAGACACCTTGTGGAGAAAACTCGTTTCAGCCGCTTGTATTTCGTTCTTTCGGTCACAACCCAAAGCTCATGACCATAGATGAGGGTAGGAACGTAGATCGACCAGTAAATTGAGAGCTTCGGCTTTTGACTCAGCTCTCTCTTCACCACGACAGACTTGTACAGCGTCCGCTTCACTGCAGACACCGCACAAATCTGCCAATCAATCTCTCGCTCCATTTTTCCCCTCATTCATGAACAAGACCCCAAGATACTTGAACTCCTCCACTTGGGGCAGGAACTCCTCCCCGATTCACAGAGGGCACTCTACCCATTTCCGGCTCAAGACCGTGGCCTCGGATTTAGAGGAACTGATCCTCATCCCGACCGCGTCACACTCGGCTGTGAACCGCTCCAGCGAAAGCTGTAGATCACAACCTGTTGAAGCCAATAGGACCACATCATCTGCAAAAAGCAGAGACAAGATACTAAGGCCACCAAAACGGATTCCCTCAACACCTTGGATGCACCTAGAAATTCTATTCATAAAAGTTCTGAACAGAATCAAAGGGCAGCCTTGGTGGAGTCCAACTCTCACTAGGAACAAGCCCAACTTACTGCCAGCAATGCGGACCAAGCTCTGACACCGGTCATATGGGGACCTAACAGTCCATATTAAAGGGCCTGGTACCCAATACTCCCGGAGTACCTCCTACAGGTTCCCCAAGGGATGCGTTCGAACGCCTTCTCCAAGTCCACAAAGCACATGTAGACTGGTTGGGCAAACTCCCATGCACCCTCCAGGACCCTGCTGAGGGTGTAGAGCAGGTCCAGTGTTCCACAACCAGGACGAAAACTGCACTGCTCCTCCTGAATATGGGGTTTGACTATTCGATGGACCCGCCTTTCCAGAACCCCTGAATAGACCTTACCAGGGAGGCTTAAGAGTGTGATCCCCCTGTAGTTGGAACACACTCTACAGTCCCCCTTTTTTAATAGGGGGACCACCACCCTGGTCTGCCAATCCAGGGGAAATGCCCCTGATGTCCACGCAATATTGCAGAGTCACGTAAGCCAACACAACCCTACAACATCCAAAGCCTTAAGGAACTCCGGGCGAATCTCATCCACCCCTGGGGCCCTGCCACTGAGGAGCTTTTTAACCACCTCAATGACCTCAGAACCAGAGATTGGAGAGCCCGACCCAAAGTCCTCAGGCTCCACTTCCTCAGTGGAAGACGTGCCCATGGGATTGAGAAGGTCTTCGAAGTACTCTGCCCACCGACCCACAATATCCCGAGTTGAGGTCAGCAGCACACCACCTCCACTATAAACAGTGTTGGTAGTGTACTGCCCCCACCCCCACCCCCACCCCCAACACCGGACGATGGACCAGAATCGCCTCAAAGCCGTACGAAAGTCATTCTCCATGGCCTCTCTGAACTCCTCCCACACCCGAGTTTTTGCCTCAGTGACCACCCGAGCCCCATGCTGCATGGACTGCCGATAACCTTCAGCTGCCTCCGTGAAACACCTAATTTGAAAATTAAGGGTGAAGTTCGGGTTCTACTTCAGAAACAAATTATGTTTCTCCCTTAGAGATAGGAAGCTTCTGATCACAGCTACTTTTTTACCAGTATCGACTATGGCGATGTTGTCTATATGTTATTCAAACATTTGTGTACAGTCCCTGAATCCAGTGTACCATTGTGCATTAAGATTTATTACTGGTTGTAGCTATCTTACTCATCACTGTGATCTGTATTTTAAAACCAGTATGTCTTCCCTGTATAAGAGGCGACATGTACATTGGATGACTGGTGTACTTGGGTGTCTTATTGGCCTGTTTCCTTATTATTTATGTACTTTTATTTGACGAATGGACAGTAGTTATGCCTTTTGCTCTAAGGACTAATTGCATCTTTATGTTCCTCGTGTGCGAACAGAAAAGGGCAATAAAGCTTTTGGCTTTTCTGCCCCCTCAGCTTGGAGTTGAATTAAAACTATCACAACTAGTTACTTTGAGTACTTTTTGTTAACTTTTAAAAAAACTGACAAAAGATATCTTTTCAACAGTGCCTGTGTTATTAACTATTGCCCTTTACTGTTATAGTGTATGTTTTTATATATTTCTTAAGTCCTATTTTAGATCTTGTTACTCGTTTGTTTTTATGACGTGTGCTGCTGCCTTTTCCAGGCCAGGTCACCCTTGTGAAAGAGGTCTTAATCTCAATGTTTTTTTATCTGGTTAAATAAAGGTCTAATAAAAAAAAGATGAGGTTGAAGTCAGACATTTCAACCTTTAGATGGTCTCCATCACTGCTCACAGCTGTCCTCTTGGAGCCTCCATGACTGAGTCCTCTTTGTGTCCAAATATAACCCTAAAATAGCTCACAACCCATCAGGTGTCAGGCAGCTTTTAAATGTTTTATACTGAGCAGCAGCACTCTGGACTTTGGGGTTGGATGCTGATGTCACCATAAAGGTCAACAAGTTTCTTGTGGTAAACAGGACCGTGTGAATCACATAGATGAGGTCAGCATCGCTGCACCTTTCTGTGATATTGTGTTTCAGGGTTGGTACGAAGAGGAAACTGAAAACCTCAACGGGTCTTGTTTTTAGTCAGATGCTATGAGGAAGATGAACTATGGTGAAGGTTGATGTATTTCATACAAGGGCTTTATTTGCCCCTTTAGGTGTTGATCTCCTTTAACCATAAAAAGCTGGAGGCAAACTGACAATAAAAAATAACAGCCCTGCTGTTCTCATGTATAAAGATGTCTTGAATGAAGAATGATTGATGTAAATGTTTCACCAGATGGGATGTTTTTAACCCCTGGAGGTCCTTTTAACTTTATAACCATTTCTGTTAAACAGCCTAAAATTAATATTTTCAAAACTCTGCAAAAGAAACTATCCATCCATCCATCCATTATCTTTACCCATTTATTCCATTTTGGGTCATGGGGGTCGCTGGTGCCCATGTCCTGTCCACTGTGCGAGGGGCTGGGTACACCCTGGACGGGTTGCAAGTCCATCACAGGGCCACATAGAGACAAACGAGACAAACAACCATTCACTCTCTCACTCACACCTAGGGACAATTTAGAGTTACCAATCAGCCTAACATACATGTTTTTGGTCTGTGGGAGGAAACTGGAGTACCCGGAGAAAACCCACGCATGCACGGAGAGAACATGCAAACTCCACCCAGAAAGGCCCCTGGACCGGGGTTTGAACCAAGGACCTGTTCGCTGAGAAACAGCAGCTCTACCAGTTGCGCCACCGTGCTGCCCGCAAAAGAAACTAGTCAATCTTTTAGAGCTATCAGTCACAAATAAAAATATCATATTTAAAGGACTTTAAATATTTCACTATTTAAAGATCTTTGTTTAAAAAAATGTAATCATATGTCAATTGAAAACATATTTAGGGTTTTTCCCATTAAATGGTAAATAGACTGTACTTCTAAAGTGTCTTTCTACATAATCAAGGTCAAAGGTCTTTACAACACAATCTGTGCCCCCATTCATTTTTTTTCATTTACCCATTATTTATACAGGTAGTCTCATTGAGCCATTTTCAAGAGAGACCTGTTTGGGGAGCAGATGGGGGTTAAGGGCCTTGCACATGGGCCCAGAGTGGGGCAAATGAGGGTGGGGGCATGTGAGGGTGCTTCATCTACCCTACCCACATTTTTGATGTTGTCGGTACCGGGGCTTGAACTGGCGATCTTCTGATCACAGGCCCACCTTCTCTAACCTCTGCGCCACTACTCCCCATTTACCTCCATACATTCATACAGCACTCTGCTACATCTCTAAAAAGATAATCTGAATCTGCAGAGACTAATCAGAGCTTAAGATCACATTCATCCACTGATGGGACACACATCAGAGGCAATGAGGGTTCAGTGTCTTGCCCAGGGACACTTCAACACGTGACTGCTGGTGAAATCAAACCCCCAACTCTCCCATTGGAGGACGGCTTCTCTAACCACTCAGCCACAACTGTCCCATTAATATGCCCTTAATCCTTTTTTGACATTTTTTTCTAATTCCTGTCCAGAGTTTGGTGAAGACCCTCCAGCCACACCCTTCAGATCGGCCAAAACTGAGGCCTTGCCAAGTTTACAATTTTTAAAAATGTATTTAATTTTTTTTATTATTATTCTACTCAAGGTATAAACACCAGTTTTTTTTTATTATTTTTGGCTTTTACTGAACCAAATTTTTATGCGTGAGAGAAGTGGAGTGCTATGTCTGACCTTAAGGTCTTCCAAGGGCTAAGCTAACCCCTGGTTCCTACTCCGCTTCTGTTTCCTGGAATATCTTGCAAAAAGATTTGAAGCTCTCGACCTTGACCTCTCTAAGTGGCTTCAAACATCTGCTAAGTTCATGGCAAAAACCAAAGCAGACATGTTCCTGTTGTTCATTTTACATCACTTTATAATGTAGCTGTTTTTGTTTTGGTTTTTAATATATTTTTCTTCCATTTATTTTTTCAATTCATATGCTTTCTTTTAGTTTTCTCCGGGTGCTCCGGTTTCCTCCCACAGACCAAAAACATGCATGTTAGGCTGATTGGTAACTCTAAATTGTACCTAGGTGTGAGTGAAAGAGTGAATGGTTGTCTCGTTTGTCTCTATGTGGCCCTGTGATGGACTGGAGACCTGTCATGGGTGTCCCCCGCCCCTCGCACAGTGATTGCTGGACATGGGCACCGGCGACCCCCGTGACCCAAAATGGAAGAAGCGGGTAAAGATAATTGATGGATGGATAGATGCTTTATTTTATGATTGTCTACTGTTGTCATCACTCTTTGTTAAAAACAGGTCTCTCTTGTAAATGGAGTCCTCAAGTCTAACCTGTATTAATAAAGGTTGAATGAATGAATGAATGTTGATGATATTTGGTTGATGTCAACCAAATATCATTAAACACATTAAATAAGCACTTACATTAAACATTTAATTTAGTTTATGTGCCAAGAAACCTGGCTGGTATAATCATAGGTAAAGATTTCACCATGTCTTCAACTTTGAACAAGGTTCTTTCTTCAGAAGGAACAAAGACTGCACACACGACCACTGTGATGATTCACCATCATACCAAACAGCTGACCAGAACAACTACAACCTCGTTTATTGCCAACCAGTTAGGAAACATTTGTAAAAACAATCAAAGATGCATCCAGCAATCCACCAGTTACTCTGATCAAAAACACATGAACGATGTCATTCTGAGAAAATCAGCATCAAAGATGGCTGCTCTGCCTGAAATAAGTTTATACTGCTGAGGGGACATGAACGAGCTCATGTGCAGAATAAGATGGAGTCAGATCGTCTTGTTTATATTCAGCAACAAGTCGTCACTCACCCAAGAGGACAGGCACATCCTGATACACAGGGTTCATGTGCAGAGCAGGTGATGTTGAGCAGGTAGGATTCACAGGTGCGCTCACAGGCCACGCCCCTACTTGGCAGGAAGTCTTTCTCCCTCTCTGAGCAGTTCTGATACATTTGACCTGGTGGACACAGCCTGTCTGTAAGGAGCGAAGAATAAATCACAGGTTAGTGGGACGACACCAGAAACCTCCCATCAGTCTGAAGAGTCACAGAGAAAAGTCAGAGGAGTTCCTCACCACCTTCCATAGTTTGGGACACCAGTTTACCATCCAGACAGAGCCTGTATGGGGGGAGGTGGAGGGCACAGAAAAATGTGAGATGATGAGAGAGTGCATCATACAACAGGATCCAAACAAGAACTGTAATTCACTTTAGATGAAAGTGAGCTGAATATTGTCCATGAGCCACCAGTTGATGAAGTTATTCCATGTTTTATTGTTTCTGCAACATCTATGTTCTTGCTGAGTTTGTATTCCATGTTTCTGTGTTGTTGTTAGAGACATTTTGGTTTTCCTTTGACTGCTTTTATTGTCCTTGTTTTATTCCTCACTTTGATCTTACAGTACTGTCAAATGACAACATAACATCATCATCTATTTTTTTCTTCTGACCTTTGCCTTATTTAAAAATAACACATGAACAAGAAAAGAAAGAAAAAAAATTTCATTAGGACATAGGCTGAAATGGCCTTCACAAGCAAAGACCTTGTATAACAGTTGACCTTGATTCATGACCTTGGTTTTAGAGATGGGGATGAAAAGATTACACAACTTTGTTTTGTGGTGGTACAAATGTGTAAGAGCTTGTTTAAACATTGACCTTGATTTGTGACCTCAACCTTGAAGCTGGGGTGATGACAGTGCATGCAGCCCTCTCTCGATTGATGATACTTATGTGTATCAAGTTTCATTAAATTCTCTTGAGCAGCTCAGAAGTTATGGGTGAGACAAATGGAGCCTAAACCATAATATGTCCACTTTCAATGGGCGTATAATAATATTAACCTCCTGAGACACAGGGTCCTCATATGAGGACATTGATTTTTTTAGAGAACTGCTCATCACAGAAAGCTGAAATTTTGTTTTTAAGAGTAGTTGGGACCTTCTAACCCCAATTTGCCAAGAAAAATATAAAATGCAAAAATAAACCTACTGTCCTCATATGAAGACATCTTTTTATTTCTAAAACTACTTCCTGTACCATGACAGTCTAGTTATTTAACTTATTAGGTCCTACTAATCCCATGTACCTTTGACAAAGAGAAAGTGCACACCAAGCAAAAGCTTGGGTCTCTAGATCATCACCATCATCATCATCATCATCATCATCATCATCATCATCATCATGATAATAATAATAATAATAATAATGATGATAATAATAATAATAATAATAAAGTAAAAACTGAAGAGGGGAAATGTTTTGAAAACTTGGAGGAAGGATCTTACTGAACACCTGCTGACGTCATGATTACTTCTCCTGGTTCATAATCTGCTCCAAGGAAACTGCAGGGACACTCGCTCCTGAAGAGACAGAAAGATCAGCAACAAAAAACACAAACTCTACAGTAGATCTCTGATCCACAATATAAATTCTGTTAAGACAAATTTCACACACACAACATGTGAGCTGATTCGTTTTTCTCATGAAACAACTCATGAGTTCTAAAGGTAAATAAGATTTGTCTTAATTATGTAAGTATAACGAACCAAATAACATTTTGTATAAATAAAACACATATGACAAATCAAGACTTACTGTCACACACAGTCCTTTATGACAGAGTTTGAAACTAAGATCAAACTTTGTTGAGAAATATCTGAGTTACACACATTTTGTTTTACCTTTGAAAATAAAGTTGCACACAGTCTCATGCAATGTGATGAGCTGTCACACTCAGGGAGGGGCTCAGGATGAACCTCTGTTACAACCACAACAAATATTAGAATAATATCTAAAACTATTTTTCTGATTTCTAAAGAAAATTGTTTGTGGTGATCATCTTGAATCAAATTGAGTCTAAATGGTAATTTTTGTAGATGTACTATGGCGTCTATAGTCCATAATCCATGACATCCATAGTCCATAGCATTTTCTATAAAAATTACCCCCCGTCGATTCCTCCCAGGCAGTCGATGGGGGACAGGACAGCCCCCAGAAACCAACTTATCACCAGCAAACTGGTTGGTCCACTAAAGGAGTGTACTGCTTAGTGGATAAAACAGTTTACTTGGGACTCCTCAGACTGATGAAGCCCTCTGGATAGAGGGCGAAAACGTCTTTCCACAAAAAAGAAACTGTCCAGATGACCTGACTGACCATGAATGGATTTTGTACCTGGATGATTGAGCATGAACTTTGAAACTCATACTGAAATTTACCAGAAAGCCACAGAAGTTACTGTTCCTGTAAAATCTATCCAATTAATAAAACTAAAACACAACTGTAAAGTTGAAAAAAATCTATATTAACCTAAATATTTACCTTTTTTAATCAGCTTCAATTTGAGTGTGTTTTTTTAATTTAATTTATTTACAAGTTCCAATTGAAGGCATCACAAATCTTCACGTGGTAAAAAAAAATGCCTGCAGGACCTTCCAAAGGCTCAAAGCCCCGAGTTTTGGTCCCACCCACTCTACATCAACAGTGAAATTGTTTAATATTCCTGCCAGTGATAAAACTCTTCCTGCAGATACTGTGACTAATCTGAGCCTTCTCTCCTGACAGTGAAGTCCTCACCAATGACAAACAACCTTCAAACATCAATGTTCATGCTCAATAATCAAGGTATAAAATCTAACAATGTTCAGTCAGGTCATCTGGACAGTTTTTTTTTTTTTTTTTTTTTTTTGCTGAGATGTTTTGTCCTTCATCCAAAGGACTTCTTTGATCTGAGGATGCTACGGAGGATGCTATGAGGAAGCGCTATGAACTATGGACACCATGGTCTATTTGCTATGGATGTTATGGACTATGTGCTATGAACACTATGGATGTTATGGACTATGGACACTATGGACTATGGATGCTATGGACTATGTGCTATGAACACTATGGATGTTATGGACTATGGACGCCATGGACTATGGACTATGGACTATGGATGTTATGGACTATGGATGCTATGGACTATGGATGCTATGGACTATGGACTATGGATGCTATGGACTATGGATGCTATGGACTATGTGCTATGAACACTATAGATGTTATGGACTATGGACGCCATGGGATGTTATGGACTATGGACGCCATGGACTATGGACTATGGATGCTATGGACTATGGACACTATGGACTATGGATGCTATGGACTATGGATGCTATGGACTATGGACTATGGATGCTATGGACTATGGATGCTATGGACTATGGACTATGGATGCTATGGACTATGTGCTATGGATGCTATGGACTATGGATGCTATGAACTATGGACTATGCACAATGGGCGCTATGAGGAAGCTATGGAGTATGCTGTTTGTGAGAATCAGTTGTGTTTGTTGGTGGCTCCTCAGATCAAAGAAGTCCTTTGGATGAAGGACAAAACGTCTCAACTAAAAGAAGAAGCCGTCCAGATGACCTGACTGAACATTGTTGAACCTTCAAGCATGTTTCTGCCAGGACTTAAATTTAAAAGAATCTGATTGGACAACCGCATTTTTATGAATTTAAAAAGTTCTGCTAAGCTGAAAAGTATCTTACAGAAAATTGGAGAAGATAGAAAACATATGAAAAACAAAAGAAAATTAATATTTGAAATCAAATAAACATTTAACTGTAACACTTCATATGTGCTGGCCTTCTCTGAGGGTTCCCCACTGGCAAAAATATCATGGTCCATCTTTTATTTTTGGCAGCAGTGAATAAAATGTGCGGTAAGCTTCAGCAGACTTCAGGTACTGTAACACACACACACTGAACAATTTGTTCCTTAATGTGTTAAGAGTTATGTTAAAGAGGGCTTTATGTTACTTTAAACAGACTATCCATGGTAAGTGGATAGGGGGAAGGCGGGCAAATTTAGGAGATGAAATCTGCCCTGAAGGGGATGAATCCAAAAGCAAACAGTGTTTGAAACAAAACTCTTACATTAAGACAACAGAAAAACAAAAATACAGTGAAGTTGAGACAAACAGTTTAGCTGAAGCTAAAAGTTTTTGTAACATATAGGTCAATGCCTCACATCAACTTCTGTACGAAAATTCTTTCTCACTGGTTATCAGATGTCTGTGTTGTCCCCAGACTGAGTGGGAATGAAAAGGGGGTTTCACGGTGAATTCCTGGATGTAACTCTAGCACATGGTAAGTAAGGCACTGAGCTGCACCAGGATGTAAAAACCAGGGACATTTTGAAGGAATTAAGCGGTGAGTCTTCCAGGGCAGAGCAGACTGAAAGGGAGAGCGCAATTATGGAGGGTCCTTGAGCTCTATAACGTCTGCAGGAAAGCTACAAGGCTTTCCACTTAAGGACTGACCCGAGATTCAGAGCAGATACAAATATCACTTTGAGAGGATTTGTTTGGTGGAGCGCTTCCAGCTCGACGGCCGTCTGCACAAAAAACAGCCGACAAAGCTGGTGCTGCTCCAAAACACAGCAAGACTAAGCAGTGATGTGCACGTGTCTCATGAACCTGATGTTAAAAAGATGTAACAATTATATCTTCCATCACAGCTACTGCCCAAAACGACAACTCTCATCAATGTTCAGTGATTCATTGTCTAAAGTGACAAACGTCAGATATTTTGATGTAAAAACTATATAAGACATAAAAATAGAACCAAGATCAAAAGAAATGCTAAACCTGCTGCTGGTGGCTCTTCAGGGTCACCATGGTGACCAGACACCTCTGTCTTTTACTCCCTGACAGCACTCTCAATAATACAGGCAGAAAAAAAAAATCAGATTGTAAAGAAATCCTCAAACAGTCGCTGTGAGAATACGTTTAATCATACTGAAGGAAATTACCAAATCATACATGGAATAAGCAGCTGTTCATCACTCCCATCAGTTTTTTTTATAGCTGACAGGTTTATTTTCTCACTCTCGAGCAAGATGGAAGCTTTTCTTCCCCCTCCCATCCTCCTCCTGATTTTTCGCTCTCTGTCTTGTGTATCGGAGCTTCTATTTACACATCTTCCGAATCATAAACTACTGCCATGGATCTGTTCAGCTGGACTGTCAATGCAATCAATACAATTTTTTCAACCAAGAGACAGGGTCCTAGAGAACCCTCATGTCCCACTGAGACGCACATGGCAGGGTACGACAAGGATCCGTGGGGGGGTTGGAAGTTGATGTGCCTTTCCGTATTGTCTCAGAAGGACGCTGAAGATGTTTATATCATTGGAATCATGATAGCAGGGTTTCTGCTTTTTGGCACCAGTGGATACCTATGTTATCGGCTATTAAAGAAGACAGCGGCAGCAGTTTCGGCCATGGCAAAGCTGCCAACCATGTGTGAAGGTTTGGTTCGCGCTTCGAGTACTCAAAATCAGCTGATTTACGAGCTCAACCATAAGATGGGAGCAATTTGTGAGAATCACAGGCCACTTGCTGCTTCTGGGACTCGCCAGCATGTTGGGGACAACCTTGGAGGGAGCTAATAAGCACGGACCAGTGGATCTCCCACAAATCTGGACATTTTGGATCATTGAAAGTACCAGCAGAACTCAAGGCTGACGAGTAATAACAGTCTGCCTGAAAAAAAATCAACAACTGTGGCTTATCTGAATCTGACTCCCCCGTTCAGCCTCAAAGCAGGTCAACTCATCAAATTTCTTCAGGGATATGTGTAAACTAAAAAGGCTCTGCTTTATTGCAAACCCCCACCCCCACCCCACCCCCCACCGAGATGAATGTGTTTTGGTGTCCAATGTGTGTATCATCCCCAAAAGAATAGCTAAAGAGCTGTAAAGATGCAGCTGAAGCTGGTCAGAGTCTAGCCACTGTGATAGGAAGCCTAAAGCCACATGGGCTGAAACTCCACTCAGCAAGGAACAAGCCTTTACTACAGACACAACATAAGTCAGATAACAATTTGTTAATGCACAATGGGGCAAAGACCCTATTTTTGGTAGCCATGCCCTGAGGTCTGATTAAATTGAAATTTGGCTTTAATGAACATCATTACATTATAGAACATGTAGGAACCTTGCGAACTTGACTCATGGGACAACATTCCAGCAAACTATGTATTGTGAGAAGCTTGTAGAAGGAAACCAAAAATACATGACTGATGGCTTAAAGGCAATGCTGCCAAATACAAAAAAATGTCTGTGAACTTGTGACTTGAAAGACAGTAATAAAAAAATCCCTTCAAATAAATCTCTCATTATTTGGGCATTTCATGAATTGATATAATCATGATGGGAATGACCCTAATCAGGAATGATTTAGTCTGATTTGAGATAAATCTGTAAAGCAATAAACCACAAAACAATGACAAAAAAACTGGGTGTAATTATTTACTGTATACTTTTTATAGGATATGTAAACTTTGAGTGAATAACAACAAATTGTTTGTAAAAACTTTTAAAAGAATGTGTGACATCCTATTGAAAGTTAAATATGCCATGATGAAATCTTCTAAATTCACAAAACAAAACTGTGTAAAAATCATTTAACGCATCAAAAGGCTGGTTTGTCATATGGTTTTAAAGTACACCTGAGATGTAGAGCTCCAAAATACTGTTGTTGTTTATGTGAAATGTTTTTGTTAATTTATGTGTGTGTGGTGCAAGATACTGCTACTGAAACTCATAACGCAATATTCTAAGCTGATGTTTTATGGTTGTTGTGTGGATATCTTAAAGCTCTAAATCAAAAACTGTGATGAAAATAGAAGATTACCACTAAAATAATAACAATGTGTTCATATCTGCTCAGCTTAGTGCTTATACATTAACACCTCTAAATTAGTTTTTTTTTTTAACTTTTGCTCAAGAATTCTTTCCATCCAGTCTTACCTGTGCACGCAAGTGTGTGTTCGGTGGTTGTAGAAGGAGCCCAGAGGACAGGTGCAGCCCTCCTCACAGTCCTCCCCACAGTGGGGAGGGAGAGAGAGGAAGGAGCACTGCTGCTGGCAGGAGGAGACGCAGGTACCATACTGCATGGTGGCTGGACAGGTGACCGCTGCAAGTGGAAAATATTATGAGTTGTTCTTGTTGTTGTTAACTTTTATAAACTTTCAGCTGAAAACTCACCGCAGTCAGATACATGGGACCGAAAGTCAATAACGACTGAAAATCTCCGGCAGTGGCGGGCGTAGTGAGCCAGTGCAGAGCAGAAGCAGGGGGTCCCACACTTACAGGTATCTGCACGGCACTGCTGATGGAAAGGTGCTGGACTGAGGTACTCGTGACACGCAGAGAAGAGTTCCTGATTCAGAACATCACACATCTCTGATGCATAGATCACTGAGAATTAGAGGGAGACAGGAAATCATTTAGAAAAATGAAAACGATGTAAAATGACTAAGATGAATGGCTTTTATTCAGAAAGCAGAATATATAAAGATTGATTAAGCAAATGTTTAGTTCCTAGCTACATATGAGGGTACAAACTTTAATATAAAAAGTAATGGAGGTGTACCCATTAAAGTGAACACAAATAAGGAAAAGTGACAGTGGTGAACTGGGAGCTTAGCCTTAGCACTATGCTTACTTCAAATTGTCACCCAGCCAGGCTGGGATCCTGATTGCTCACAGTCTGCTTGAGAACTATTAACAGGAGCTAATCTTGATAGATACAGAGCCAAGCTTCTAATTTAGACAGCCTTGCCTCCAAACCTACAATAGGACCGCATCCTAATCAGATGCCTGAACCATCTCGGCTGACACCAAACGGTGTCAGCCCGTCTTGTATCCAAGATCAAATTTTTATGGTCATGATCTATATCTTATGTCCATAGGTGAGGAATGGTGCACAAGTGATCTAGTAAATACTGAATTTTGTCTTTAATCTCAGCTCATTCTTCACCATGAAATATGAAAGTGATACCTTCAATACTAAAGATGAGGCCCCGATTTATATATTTCTATTTTACCATAACCATCCATCCAGCCATCCATCATCTTTCATTTGAGCAGGGGGGCCAGACATCTCTTTCCACAGCCACCTCTTCCAGCTCTTCTAGGAAGATCCCAAGGCGTACACAGGCCAACAGAGAGACAGTCTCTCCAGTGTGTTCTGGGTCATTACCGGGATCTCCTCAGTCTGACATGTGTGAAGCACAGGGAGCATACTTACCAGATGCCCAAACCACTCCGACTGGCTCCTCTCGATGTGGAGGAGCAGTGGTTCCACTCCTAAACTCTCCCGGGTAACTGAACTTCTCACCCTATCTCTAAGAGAGAGTCCAGCTGCACTGACAAACTAATTTCAACCACCTGCATCCACGATCTCATTCTTTCGATCACTACCCAGAGTTTGTGGCCGTAGATAAGGGTAGAAGAGAGCTTCACTTTACAGCACAGCTCCCTCTTTACCTGAACGGACCAGCACAGCATTTGCAAAACTGCAGATGTTGCACCAGTTTGTCAATCTCATGCTTCATTCTTCCCTCAAGCGTGAACAAAACCCCAAGATACTTAAACTCCTCCACTTTTTATATTAATTTATTCATTCATTTAAAAGAAACAAAACAAAGAAAACAAATTCATCAAAAAGAAAAAAACATTGAATGAAAATGGTGCAGAAAGAAGAAAAACGTTTTTATAATATATGCCCTTTATTTAAAAAAATATATAAAATAACTACAAACAACTTGAACAATCTCCAAATTGAAAACATAAAGCATAGGCATCCTTCACCTGACACTATACCTTCCCAACAACTTTAACTTAATCATCTTTTTAAACATATAAATTGTATTAGAATTTTTTATGGAGATATCAGTGCAATTCCACAATCTTATTCCCTGAATTACAACACAGCTCCTTCAGACTAGTTCTGTATGGAGGTTTTACAAACATTTCCATTCCCTTAAAGTTATAATGACTCTCTTTTTTTAACAAATTTTAATTGAGCTTCTCATCAATAACGACACCCAAAAAATTTATTTAATTAACTATGAATTTCAAAACTGTCTATTTTAAATGGGACTTTGATCATTTTCTTTCTATTACTAAATATAGTTTGTTTTTTCCGAATTTAATGATAACTTATTAAGTTGGAACCAAGTTTGTATTTTTACTACTTCTGCCTGTATCATCTCTAACATCTGTTCAATATCTTCACCTGAACAAATAAATGTGGAATCATCTGCAAATAAAACACACTTCAAAAGCCCTGCCACGTCAACCAGATCATTCACATACAAAATAATCAACTTTGGTCCCAACACAGAGCCTTGAGGAACTCCACATCGATTAACACAAAATTCAGATCTTACATCGTTTACCTGTACAAACTGTCTCCTATTATTTAAATAACTGGATACCCACTGTAGTGCTAATCCTCTAATGCCATATTTATTCAGTTTTTCAAGGAGCATGGTGTGGTCAATAGAGTCGAAGGCGTTTTTTTAATCAACAAAAACGCTAACACAATACTGTTTTTGATCAACAGCAGTTATCTCTTCTATTATTTCCATTGATGTTGAATTATTTGCTCTAAACCCATATTGACTAGTACTTAAAATGTTCTGTTTATCTATGAATCAATCTAATTTGGTTACAAATAATTTATGTAATATTTTTGAAAATTGTGGCAACAAGAATATTTGTCTGTAATTAGTGAATACACATTTCTCACCATTCTTATAAAGAGGAACTATCTTTGCTATTTTCATATTTTCTGGAAATTTTCCTGTTGAAAATGATAAATTACATATATATGTAAATGGTTCAATAACATAATTCATTATATCCTTTACAAACATCATGTCCATGTCCATCCTGTCTTTTTATCTTTTATCTGCAAGATTTTTTACAATACTCTGTATTTCTTCTTTATTAGTGTCACCGAGAAAAATGCTGTTGGCACAACCCACGAGGAAGGGCACAATCCACTTGAGGAAGAACTTCAAGCTCAACTTGAAGAGAGCAATCCACCATTTTCCAACTTTTCGGCTTCACACTCAGCTGTGATCTGCTCCAGTGAGAGCTGAAAATCACAGCATGATAATACTACAGGACCACATCATCCGCAAAGAGCAGAGATAGGATCCTGAGGCCACCAAACTGGACTGCCTTTATCCCCGGCTACACCGAGAAATTCTGTCCATAAAAGTTATGAACAGAATCAGAGACAACAAGCAGACCTGGCGGAGGCCAACTCCCACCCTGAAGGAGTCTGACACTGCCAACAATGCAAAACAAACTCTCAAACCGCTTGTATAGGGACCGAACAGACTGTAGCAAAGGGCCCCCAATTCCATACTCACAGAGCAACTCCCAAATTGTATCTCAAGGAACATGGTCAAACGCCTTCTCCAAGTCCACAAAACACATGTAGACTGGATGGGTGAACTCCCATGACTCCTCAAGGACCCTAGTGAGGGTAAAGAGCTGGTACAGTGTTCCATGGCCAGGATGGAACCTACATTGTTCTTTCTGGATCTGAGGTTTAACAAATGATCTGACTCGTTACTCCAGTAGCCCTGAAGAGATCTTGCCAGGGAGGCTAGGGAGAGTGACACCCCTATAATTGTAGCACACTCTACTGTCTCCCTTTTTGAAAACGGGAGCCACCACCCCAGTCTGCCAATCCAGTGGCACTGTCCCCGATATCCACATGATGTTGCAAAGGTGTGTCAACCAAGACAGTCCCACAACATCCAGAGCCTTAAGGAAATCAGGGCAGATCTCGTCCACCCCCCAGAGCCCTGATGATGCAAAGCTTTTTAACTACCATGGCCACCTCAGCCACGGTTATGGACAGACCAGCTCCAAAATCCCCTGATTCAGCTTCCGCCATTGAAGATGTGCTAGTGGGATTGATAAGGTCCGAAAAGTATTCCTTCCACCTCCTGGTGACATCACTGGTGACATCAACTCACCACATCTTCAATGAATACAGTGTTAGTAAAGTGCTACTTTCTTCTCTTCAGCTGCCTGATGGTTTATCAGAATTCAATTCAATATACTTTATTGATTCCCAAGGGGAAATTTAATTTCAGTACATCCTACCAAGACAACATACATGGGGCGGGACAAGATGTCTAGTACTGCAGCTGCATGGAGCAGTGTGGCCTTTCATACAAAGATAAGAAAAGAAAAACAAGAGGAAAGAAAGGTATATAAAAAAGCTCTCTCACACTATGTCCTTGAAACAGGGCGCAGTGCGAAGAAGCAGAAAAAACAATCTACCTCAGCACAAAAAAGAGCAACATGGATAGACATAATACAAATGCATTTGAAATGGGTAGGGGTGGGGGTCCAAGCACAGCCACCAGGTGAGCGACGTAGCCCTTTGGCGCCTTCACATTTCCTAGGATGATGCACCAAGAAGGCAACAAGGGGAGCCAGCAAAAGCATGAATTTGAAGGGGTTGTTCATGGACACTCCAGGATGTACCAAAGTTCTGAATACAGTGTCTATCAGAGACACCCTTCTGCAGATGTCTTTGGGGAGAGGAGGGGGTAGGGAGTGAATCTCTTCAGAGTCTCTATCCAAGGCCTCACCAAACTTCTCCCACATCAGAGTTTTTGTCTCATTAACAGCCAAGGCAGCACCCCACTTGACCCTTCAGTACTCCACAGCTGCCTCCGGAATCACACCAGCCAACAAGGCCCAATAGGACTCCTTCAGCTTGACAGTCTCCCTAGCCCAGGGTGTCCACCAACAAGTTTGAGGATGGCCACCACGAGAAGCACTAACGACCTTACAGCCAAAGCTCAAGGCAGGCACCTCAACAATTGTGGAGCTGAACATGGCCCACTCAGATTTAATGTACCCTACCTCAGCTGGGATGCAGTTCTCTCCTGGAGGTGTGAGTTTAAGATCTTTCTGACGGGTTCTTCCCCCCACCTGAAGGCAAAAGTAACCTACCCTCTCATCTAACGAGGAAAACTATAATGCACAGGTACTGGGTTGTTTTTGTTTTTTTTTGGCCTGGAGGGATATAGTTTGGCCTAGACTATTCCACACCCCCAGGTATAATTTGGCTTATGACAGTATTCCCTCTTGGCCAAACTATACCAGGGTTTAATCTAGGCAGGTGTTAATTTGGCCTGTTATACCAAAAAATAGAATACCATAAACAACTTTATTAATCCCCAGTAAGGAAACTAGATTTTCACAGCTATAAAAACAGCATGGTACAAAAACTGGTGCTGAAATAATCCCATCATATTGACATGGTGTGACAACAATACAATGTCAGATGTTCACAAACAACACAGTGTAAAATAGTGTCAAAGTGTAAAAAAAATTCACTGCGTAAATAAGTTAGGAGTCATCAGGACTGCTTTAGCTGCCCACCAGTTAACAGGTAACGAGCCAACAAGCTTGTGTCTGCCGAGTTTCACTCCACTCAGGCAGATGAAGCGGTGAACTGAGTGGGCAGCGTTTGTAGACAACCTCTATGTGTTTATTTAACAGGAAACTCTTCCTTCGTAGCTCGTCATCACCGCTAACCAGATCAAACACCGGCTGACTGATAAGGAACAGACCCAGTCACAACAGGCTGATGGAACGCTTTTTTCCCTCCTGATTTTAATTCACATATTTGTGTTCATATTTTTTTACTCTGTAACATAAGTAAGTAAAATACTTTAAATAAAAATAATCAAGTAAAAGTATAGATTGGAATAAATACTTTAAAAGAACAAAGTACACAAAATCCATATTTAATTACAAGAAAGTAAATGTAGTTTACCACTTTCCACCCCTGCCAGAGAGCATGTCAGAGACAGTTACATATTTGAAAAGAAAAAGTGATAGAGTGTATGGGCTTAACATAAAAATACCCCCCTTCTCTACTGAAATCCAGACAGAGGGAAAGAGACTCACCAGCCTGTTGGTGAGTGTCACATGGGTCAAGCTGAGGTGAACTCAGACTGAGAGAACAGGCTGACGACACCTTCCAGGTATTTCCAAACAGCTGAGGAGTACTTTCAATCATTCCTGACGGAGACCTGCAGGAAAACCAGACCACAGCTTCACTGCAACATCATAAAGTCCACTCTTTAAGTTCAAATATTAAAACAGAAATCAAGATTGATGGTTCCATGTTGAATAAATAAACTTCCCATCTTTTGATTGTAAAAGCTGACATTACTGCTGCATTTCTTCCATAAATAAATATAACAACATCCACTGCATCCACAGTGACACCAATGTTTTCTAGAAAATATATCAGTTTTTAAAAATCAGATGTAAGTTGTATCATTTAAAATATTGCCATATATAAATCGGTTTATTATGTTTCACTTTTCATCATCGCTGTGGTTAGGCCTAGAGCCACACATATTCTCTGAATAGCCCCACATCTCATGCTAACAACTAAAAGGAATACTAATCTATTACAATAAAGGATTAAGGCCCATTTGTTTGCCTAACAACACCAGCAGGTCAGGTTGTGGTCTCTGTTTTTCATCCAAGCAGCATCTGCTTCATAATAACTGACACTTTGGAGAATCTGCGCATGGCATGTGCATATTTTACGCACGGCGACTGAATTGTCTTGTTAGTAAAACATTTCATGACCCACTAAACAAATATTAATGAAACTCTGAAAGTTTTTTAGTTATAGATTTGTATTTATTTATTTCCCTTTCAGCTGTTTCCTTCTTCAGGGGTCATCACAAGTGAATCAGAATCAGAATAAGCTTTATTATCATAGTACAGTGAGATTATGTTCGTGCAGTCGTCCGAAAGATGGGCGGAGTGCACGTTGCTGCTTCTACAGGAGCACGGCTTCTTATTCTTTATCAGAATACATTTAGATAGAACAAGGGAAAAGGCCATGAGGATAGATAGTGGTATTATAAAAAAGATCTCTTCACATCTTGTCCTATCAGGACACAATTTAAGACATCAAAAAACTCTACCAGCAAGCACATTTAAAAACACATTACATATACATTTGACATCAAGATGGTGAGAATGCACTGGTGAAGATTCTCAGTCATCCAGGACATGATAAATTCAAAAACGTTCAATACAAAAACAACTGGACTTTATTTGTAACAGAAGACGTTTCGCTTCTCATCCGAGGAGCTTTCTCAATTCAAAGAGCAGAGAGTGAGGGGTTCATATTATAAGGCTGAGATAAGATACACATACATGTAGATTGACATATCACACCTCACACCTTAACAGTAGGGGTTTCTTAAGGTCTTTGTTACTCTAATTCACAGACGAGGCCCCTCTGTTCCCATCAAGTGTGAAAACCGGCTGGGGATCTGATTTAAAGTTGCATTATAGGTTTTTGAAAGTGGAAATCTGAGGCCTCCTCCTCTGTTAAGAGACGGCTTTTCTCTTTTTACATAAATTGCTTCCTTCCCCCCCCCCCCCCCCCTCAAACCGTCTGTGTTCTCGGTCCAAAATGTGCACATTTTGCTCCTCAAAAGAGTGTCCCTTCTCTGTGAGGTGGAGATGAACAGCTGAGTCTTGTCCTGTGGAGGTGGTTCTCCTGTGTTGAGCCATGCGTATGTGAAGAGGCTGTTTAGTTTCTCCAATGTAGAGGTCTGGACAGTCCTCGCTGCACTGGACCGCATACACCACACCACTCTGTTTGTGTAATGGTTGTTTTGTCCTTAGGGTGGACCAGCCTCTGTCTGAGAGTCCTGCTGGGTTTGAAATGTACTGGGATGTTGTGTTTGTTGAAAATCCTTCTGAATTTCTCTGATACTCCAGCAACATAAGGGATGACAATGTTTTTCCGTCTGTTGTTCTCCTTTTTCTGTTTATTAGTGTGTTTTGTAGATTTCCTCGCTGACTTGACAAAAGCCCAGTTAGGATATCCACATGTTTGAAGAGCTTCTTGGATGTGTTTTTGTTCCTTTTCCTTCCCTTCTGTCTTTGTGGGGACATGTTCAGCCCGATGTTGTAAAGTTCTGATGACAGAGAGATTGTGGTCCAGTGGATGGTGGGAGTCAAACAGAAGATACTGGTCTGTGTGGGTTGGTTTTCTGTAAACTTCAATGTTAAGGCTGTCCTCTCTCTCCATCTAAATCAAACAGTCCAAAAAAGGCAGCTTGTTGTCGTTTGCATCCTCTCTGGTGAACTTGATGTTATTATCGACAGAGTTAATGTGTCTGGTGAACGCTTCTATTTCCTTGGCTTGGATTTTGACCCAGGTATCATCCACATATTGGAACCAATGGCTTGGTGTTGTGAGATTTGTCCATGAAGCACTTCCAGATAGAGCATAGTTCTGATAAGATGTTGGTCAGACGGTAGTTCTGATAAGCCTGCACAGAGGTTCTGGGGGGTTGCGATAGACAAAGCTTTTTCCTTTGTTTGTTCAGTCAGGTCACCTGGATGGTTTCTTTGGGGTAGGCCTAATTTGCAAGCAAATGTGCATTTTAGGTCTGAGAACCAACTGGCAGGTGACAACTGATTGCTGCTCAGGAGTCCCTTCTCTGCCGTTCATCAGCTATTTGTCGCTGAAACAAGAATACCAGTTCAGCCACCAACATCGATGTATATCCACTTACAGCTGTTAGACAACATCCGGCCATTATGGTCGGCCATTACGATATGGCACAGTGGAGCCCCTATTCCACTAACAGTAAATTCCTTGTTGGAATGGTGTGTCCAGTCGGGCGCTCATCTGGCCTGACTAAAAGAGCTGATCAGAGAGTGAGGCTTTTGATGCCGAGCCGCTCGGCTCGTGTGCATTACAGAGCAGGAGAGCACTTCACCTCCTCCCGTCAGCTGAAACAGGAGCGTGCTCTCTTCCTAATCATTGGAGGGGAGGAAAGAAGGGTTAACACAGGGGGTCAAAGGTTAGCCAGCACACAGACTTACAGGAAGTCATCTTGAATGTTGCCGTTGAAGGTGCCGCATAGCCCCACCGTGTCATCCTTCCATGGCTCATCGACCTGCACATAGAGACGAAACTCTGCCCAGCTGTACTGCAGACGGAGACCAAATGCCGTCCTCACTTGGAGGAACATGGACGACAGCTCCTGAACATGGAGCACGTCTGTAGGAGGTGTAGGAGCAGGAGATTTTCTGTCAGAATTTCAAACCTGAACTTGGTTAACGGCTTCGTGCCCAGTCCTTTACATATTACCACCAGTTACTGAACACTAGAGTGTCTGCAGGACTGTATCTTTTGTCATGTGAATTTAAAGATATGGCATCAATAAAAAATTGCAGAGGTTCATGCAAACACTCATTTAGAAACCTGTAGAATAGTTACATTTTGCTTTACATTTTTACTGAGACTTTTCTGGTTCTTTGCAAATGGAAATCATGACGGCAGCAACTGTAGCTGTTCTGGTTCAAACTGGGGAACTTGTGGCAGGAATCCCAGCAAATTACTTTTCTAATAACAGTTTAATGTGAAATGGACAAAAAATGTTTATAAATTGATGTTTGCATAAAGCTCTATAAAAAATTTGAGATTGAAGTTGTTTTTAAGCCAGCAGCAATCCCCTTTGGTCCAACACAAACTAGCCAGCAACTGGATCAAAATGCAACTTTATTTCTCTAAATGTACGTTGTTCACAGAGAACACACAAAAAATCTGAGTTATTCCTTTAAGGCTCACCATCTGACTGTAAAACCTATCTAAAAGTATAAAAAGGGTTATTTTCTATCTGTGCTTACACAAAAGAAGATCTCTCTTTCTCTCTCTCAGAAATACAAATATGTCTGAACTCATTACCTGGAATAAAAATCTCAAGTTTATTTAGGTTCCAAAAGAAAAAGAAAACTCACTCCAACATCATTTTGTCATGATTTCACTGTAGGATGAAATCTGTTGAGGTAAGCAATATAATAAACACATAGAATGATGTATAAAATATACATTTTCTGCAGCTGCATGGACTAAACTGTTTTTTTTTTTATCTGGTGTAAATGCGTGACGTTTGGCATTGTTACACTCTTTATAGCCATTAAAATAAGGTGCTGTTGTAAAATGTTTTACATTAAAAATTGACTATACATCCATCATCTTTACCCACTTCTTCCTTTTTGAGTCACAGGGGTCACTGGTGCCCATATCCAGCAGTCACTGTGTGAGAGGTGGAGGACACCCTGGACGGGTCTCCAGTCCATCACAGGGACACATAGAGACAAACGAGACAAACAACCATTCACTCTCTCACTCACACGTAGAGACAATTTAGAGTTACCAATCAGTCTAACATGCATGTTTTTGGTCTGTGGGAGGAAACCGGAGTACCTGGAGAAAACGCCTGCAGGCACGGAGAGAACATGCTATGGAGTTAGCATGTTATGTGCGTGCATGTGGGCGTTTTCTCCGGATGATCAAGATTTGAACCAGTGGCCTTCTTGCTGAAGGGTGGCAGCTCTACCAACTGAGCCATCGTGCCACCCAAAATTAGTTTTGTATTTTAAAAAAGTTGTTTATTTTACTTTGTGTCTTGAATTTATTGTGTTGGGGGTTTTTTTTAACTGGCATGGTGGCAAAGTTAGTAGAGCTGTTGCCTCTCAGCGAGAAGGTCGTTGGTTTAAATCCTGACCCGGGACCTTTCTGGGTGGAGTTTGCATGTTCTCTCCGTGCATGCGTGGGTTTTCTCCAGGTACTCCAGTTTCCTCCCACAGACCAAAAACATGCATGTTAGACTGATTGGTAACTCTAAATTGTCTCTAGGTGTGAGCGAGAGAGTGAATGGTTGTTTGTCTCGTTTGTCTCTATGTGTCCCTGTGATGGACTGGAGACCTGTCCAGGGTGTCCTCCGCCTCTCACACAATGACTGCTGGACATGGGTACCAGTGAGCCCCACGACCTGAAAAGGAAGAAGCTGTAAAGGATAATGGATGAATGGATTTTTTTTAACTAGCTGATAAGAAAATGACTAAGTTACATAAGGATGCCAAGTGTTTTGTCAGGTTCTGTAACAGGGCATGCAGAAAGAGAAGTGTTCATGCTGTTATTCATAGATGTACGCAGTATCAGATCCTCCTCACAGTTTCACATGAAACACACAAAAGACCGTTGACTCCATAATCAAGATGCTGGCATACAATGAGAGCAATGCTCTGAGAAAACACATTTTCTGCAGCACATTGTGGGAGAAAAGTCAGTGTGGTATTGAGGAAAAAATGTTGTCAATGGCACAGCTGTCATACAATCTGTATCTGCCTTGTCTCACAGAGTGTTGAAACAAGTGCAGTCCTGGTGAAATGAAGAAAGATGGAAAAGTGATAACAGATGAGGAGAGTACCGTCAGAATAAGGGAGTGAGACACGATACTGTCCAGCCATAAAGACCTCGCCAATGTGACTCAGAGTGATTTCTGTTCTTGGATCCTCGTCAACAACCAGGTTAACTGATTGGATGCAGGCCCCGTCCAAATTCTGCAATTGAGATAAAACCGTGTTTTTCTTAAACAGCATCAATTCAGATAAACATCAGTGCACACATAAAAAAACACAATGACAGGAATAAAATGTGTGCAATAATAATGAAAATGTATTTGCCAGTGTGCGGTGGAAATTGATACTCAGCTTTACATAATCTTAGTCTATGGTGTAATTTTAACGAGAGAAACAAAGATCTACTCATTTTAACAGTAGTAGGGTTTTTTGTTGTAGTTTTTCATTTCACCAGGAAATACATAAATTTATCAATTTCAACATTACTAAAACTGAAATTCAGTTTCTATAACGAGAAGTAAAGTACAGTACTACATACAGCGCATTGTACGCCCGTCAACAAACTATTATACAACAATTTATAGCCATGGCCTGGACAAGCAAAGACCATGTTTAACACTTGATCGTGATTTGTGACATTAACCATAGAGCTGGGGTGGTAAAAAGATTATGCAGGACCCTTTCTAGTAGTGGTACAAATTTATATCAAGATTTGTTAAAATATCAAAAGTTATGGGTGGGTAAAGAGAGAAAGTTTACAGTTGTGCATATGTACTGATGAATGGATGAACCCTAAAACCATCCGCCTTTCAATGAGCATATGGTTGATGGACGTAGATGCAAGGTTTTGAGGCAACAAGCAGGCTGATGAATCCTAAAGTTTTTATTTATAACAAGAAAACTAAGCTGGATCAGAGCTGGTTGAAGACATAAAAACAGGGTCCCAATAAAGACCTTTTTGAATGTGTATCAGAGTAGCTATCCACGCTCTGCTCTCATTCTCTGTCCTTGACTTGACAATAGTTTACAAACTGTATTACAGCCACCGTGGAACGATGTGATGTAACATGACAACATGTTGGTTGTATTGAAACATTTTAAAATGAAAACACTTCAGTAGCTACTCAACGTTTGTAACTTAGTGATTCTTGTGGCGTAGTGATGGAGCTGTATCAGTACCCCCACCTTAATTAAACATTTGATAGTCAAACACTTAACTGAGTTCACTGAGTTCACCCAGCTAACTTTTAAAGCTAGCATAGCCAAGCAACATACTTTCCAGGAAACTTCAGCGAATAGGCAATTTTTCACAGAACATCAGTAAGGCAACAAAGTTAAAAGGAAAGGTGACTGAATCCATCACTCTCAATGAGCTCTTTCACAAGAAGCCTCAGTCTGGAACTGAGATGTGTTCTGGCTGCCTCTGTGTGTCTTCTGAATGGACTGAGGCAGTGGGGGGGGGGGGGGGGGGGTCGGAGACAATCGACCTCTGGTGCGCCTCTGTACTGTCAAGAAAAGTAGTATGAAAGCCGGACCAGCCAACATGTGAAAGTAAGCCGCAGTGTGGCAGCTCGATAATGGGCTTAACTATTGACAACAGTGTTCATTCATTCATTTATTTATACAGGCTAGTGAGGACTCATTTACAAGAGGGACCTGTTCCAGACAGAGCATATAAAGTACAGACAACAATAACAGTAGACAATGACAACAATAAACTACAATAAAAAAATGTGTGTGATCGCCCGCTCATGGGATTAAACAACAAACAGATTTATTACCCTGGGAATATTTAAAGGGGTGTCAAGCAGCTCTGTAGTTAGTTTTAATAAAGAAGTTGCCCACAAAGAGGGTTGCTAAAGTGAGTTAATTTATCTTGTTTTGGGCCTTCAGGTCCAGGCCTCCGTTGCAAAAGAGATCTGTGATCTCAGTGGGATTTTCCTGGTTAAATAAAGGTTAATAATTAATATGAGGCAGATATCTGACGCTATTTGATGTTCCACTTCTGTTCTGCTCCATGCCTCTTTTGGTTTTGCTCTGCCCACGTGGTTTATGAATGCTCACATCTGTGGCCGGCTCTATCTGTGATTTATGAATGGCCAAAGAGGAGAAAGACTGACTGGTCTGTGTGGCCATTTTGCAGAACTGTTTTGAAAGAGCCAACCCATCTAAGAAGTACAGAAAATGGGTGTTTTGCGCCTTTTTGAGCTGTTGGGTTCGTAGTACACTTCTTTCCAAAACTACATAACCGACACAGTGATTCCTGAGCTGCAGAACAAATCTCACCATTGCGTTGTAGATGTTTGCTCTTGTAGATATAGTTTTAACAGAGTGAATGACACAGTTCATAGCAAACATTGAGCTGGACTGAGACAACCAGACAATTTTTAAATGACTCAGATTGGTATCAGGGTAAAAAAAAATATTGATCTGGACATTGTTACTTTTTAGGTTGAAAACATACAATTGACACCAGATGTTTAAGACACAAGACCATTTTTGTCACTTTTAACATTGAGTGTGTTATTAGTAACAGTGAAACAAGGCCTATACCGACATGAGGTGAGAGGACACTCAACAAGAAAGAAGGCATCATCCTGAAAGCAACATAAAAAAGCCAGATGACAGTGTGTAAACAAATACAGAAACAAGGATCCTGAATGTTTGGAGACATGTCCTGTGGTCTGATAAAATTACAACTAAATTGTTTAACCATAATGACCACTGTTACATTTGGAGATAAAAGAGGAAAGCTTGGGGGGGACATTGACAACAAAGTCAATGTTTTGTGGTAGCTATCATAAACCCCTGAACTGTATCCTATAGATAATTTGTCAGCAGAGCTGAAAAGGTGTGCGCCAACAAAGAGCCAACAAAGCCGACACAGTTAAGGCAGTTCTGTGAGGAGGAACGAGACAAAAATCCAACAAATGGTTGTAGAAGTTTGTTGAAGGAAATGCAAAATATATGAAAGACCCTGAGCAGACGAGCACAAGCAGCCCAAATCATAGTGATGGCATTGAGTGTGTGTGCTATAACTACGACGGCCCAAAACGCACAACAGAAAAACATGTCAGGCCAAACCACAAGCAAGAGAAGAAAAACAACACTAATGTTTTTCTGTGGAAATATTACGTGTTTGGATAATTTGTCACTTCGGGACCATGAGAAAACAAACTGGTTCCACAAATTTTTCACCAAGTTATTCCCTTTAAACAACATAAAAAAACTAAACACCTGCTGGTAAAAGATTTTAATATCAGCTGAAACATTGAGTCGCTTTTGCTTTTTGCTGCTGTGACAGTCAAAAGTAATCCTGGGTGTTGCTGACAGCCAACAATCTGCAGCTATGAATTGTTTCTTTCAGAAGCAGCAGAGCTCCACGGCAGAACGGTTCTAACACACACCTCCGTCCTCCCACCTCCTCCTTCTCTTCCCATCATTCACCTCCTATTTTCCAGCATTACCTTCTCTCTGTACAACCCCCACCCCACCTTTACCTCCCTCCTCGCCACAAAGCCATCCAACAGCTCTGTCAGCCAGGTCAGATAAGGTAATCCCTGTTTAGTTGGCTGTTGGAGGTCTCTGGCCTGTGCTCTGATGAGTGAGATGTCTCATATCACCTCCCTCAGAACCCCACCCCACCCGAGCAGCTAAAAACTGCTGGGAAACTTATGACTGGGGAAAAAGAGAAAACGCCTTTAGTCTTGTCAGTTTTTGTATTTGTTATCCACTCTTGCAGCAGCAGAGCGGCTTACTGAGCACTACATTTAGATCTGATCTACAAGATGGAGGAACTGAACAAAATTGTAACATGAGCCAATTGAACAGTTTGAATACAGAAGCTAAAGAAAAGAAAAAAAATAACTCACAGCTCCACAGGGGGCATTCTGGATAGTGATGGTGAACTTTCCTGAGTTGCGACTTTTGGCGAGGACATATTGACACGTTGCAGGAAATGTAAAGATCCGGCCATCGAAGGACTGGAAATACATATCACCCGTCACGGAGCATTCACCTATTAAAAAGAAATACATTTGCTAATGAATTCCAGCACCTCATCCAAAAAAAAATCTAACTTTACACTAACATGTGACAGTTATTAAATGAAACCCATTTACATTACAACAAGCAATATGCTGAAAGCCCCCCCACCCCCCCACCCCCACTGAGGGATTGGAATATTGAATTTTTGTGAATGATTGTAGTTTTTGAGATAGAGAAAACTACTTCCTGTTTACTCAGAATTTTAAAAAATTCTTACAATTTTCACCAAGAAAAATTGTAAAGTACAGGGTTTTTGCATTTTGGTAGACCTCCTTTAAAGTTTGGATTTTTTTTCTGGTGTTTTTCTGCTTCAAGGCTGTATATTAGCTAAATGGCTTCTGCGGGTTCGTCTCAGGGGAAAGCAGGTGGTGGCAAGGCTTAGGGCGTCTTGTCCCAGCCCTGCCCAACCTCTTGCGGAGTCACCATCTCAGGACGAATACCCATCCCCATCCACTCTCTATTTTGTGCATTTCACAAGAGGCGCTGGCTGACACTAGCTCATGTAACCCCACAAAGGCACTGCAGCTGTTCTGACACCTGCGTGTTTCAGTGGCTTCAAAATCCGATGTGTTGTAGTTGCAGTTGCAAAATCAGGCGGTGTCTAGTGGTGATACAGGTGCTCCATGTTTATGCGCATAGTAGAATTGTAATAACCCTATAGCATAGCCCCCATTATATGGCCAGGTTTCAGAAGATGAGGGCTATGGCAGAGAGGACGACGAGACAGATATGAATTTGGACCTCTTTGAGGAATAGATTTACCGAGTCGACGAGGATGTCACTTTGAACGGAGTGAGGGAGCAGCAGCTGTCAGTGATCATTACAGTGCCACATTGGCCCAGCAGGCCTTGGACGGTGGACTTAGTGAGTCCCCTGTGCCCACAGCCACTGCTAGTAGGCAGGGAATTTGTATCACAGGGGTGGAGTCAGATTTTTCACCCACATCCCAAGAGATTGGCTTCTAGGACCTGTTTCATCCATCCATCTATCCATCCATTATCTTTACCCGCTTATTCCATTTTGGGTCACGGGGGTCGCTGGTGCCCATGTCCAGCAATCACTGTGCGAGGGGCGGGGTACACCCTGGACGGGTCGCAAGTCCATCACAGGGCCACATAGAGACAAACAACGCAAACAACCATTCACTCTCTCACTCACACCTAGGGACAATTTAGAGTTACCAATCAGCCTAACATGCATGTTTTTGGTCTGTGGGAGAGTGAATGGTTGTTTG